TTTTTTTGTATTTGTTCGTCTCTCTCTCTCACAGCCTTGCTCTCCCTCTCCAAGCCACACAAGTACAAGAAAGTGTGGGTGCGAGGTGCAAATCTGTGAGAGAAGCAGCGATCAACCACGCAACTGATATATGGAGGAAAAAAGTATATGCCTCTACACAATTTACTTTTCCTCGTGCACTTGTTGAAAGGTTTACTTCTTGCTTCTGCGGTGACTTCTGTTCTCTAAGCCGAACTCAAACCAGCTCGCCCCGCCCACCTTTTCTTTTTTCCTTCTTCCTCCACTCGCTATTCACACGCAACGCGCTGAGTAGTCTTCTTCGTTTGCTTGGCACCCGAGCAATGGTGCCTACGACCCCCTGCTTCTCCTGCCTTCTCTCACACGCAGCCGCAGAGTGAGACGCAGGCGGAACAACAGACAGACAGGTGCGCCGGTGAAGGGATGAGGAAGTCCCGCCCAAAGGACCAGCAGAAATCAAATCCACCAGAGAAAAACGCCACACGAAATCTGCCTCCAAAGTCCCACCAATAAACAAAAAAAAGGGCTCTCAGAGGCAAACTCACACCGAAACGAATTAGCAGTCAAAAGGAATCAGTGAAGACACCAAGCACCGCAGACAAAAACAAAATGAATACGTCAGTAAAGAAAAGTAAAAAAAAAAAAGGGACGCCCACGGAAGTGTTGTGAGAAAACGCGTGTGTGTTTGTGGATGCGTATCGGCTGTGGAAACTCACGCACAAAAACAAGAAACAGAAACACAAGAAAGATAGAGCAGTGAGAACACCAGAAGGTTACTGGTGTACGCCCAATAGCCGCTATCTTTTTTTTTTGGAGATGTGCGCCTGTTTGCTGTGTTACTTGTTATATATATATATATATATTACTCTCTCCTTAACACTCCTTTATCCCTTTTTGTTTTTCACTGTCTCTGCCTTCGTGGCCTTGCTTTTCCCCTGCTGTTTTTTTTATTTTTATTTTTTCACAACTAACTTGGGGAAATTTGTTCCTCACTCAGTACGAGTACCTTTCCCTTTAGCTGAGGAACCTTCGCCTCACCTCTCCTTCTTTTACTTCAGCACTTGCCTTTCTTTCCTTCACACCCACCACCTCTTTCGCTCGTTTGGCTGTCCTTCTTGCACTTGGCTGTCGTGAGCGACTTTGCTCAATCCGGCGGGGAGTTCCTCCGTTCCCGTTCAAGCACAACGTCGTGGTGCGCAGGCGACGCAGCAGCAGCACACTTTGAGGGCGCAACCCTCTTCCTTTTCCTTCCCGTAGGATCCACTCCACAGAGTACAACTCCGAGAGACTCAGAGGGCAGTTGTCCCCACTGCACCCTCTCTTGCTTATCCTTATGGTTGTTTTTTCCCCTTTTCCGCTCTGGGCTTCTTCTACGTCCGCCGCAGCGTGTGAGGGGAGCAGACTGGCCAGGTAGAAAAACCATATATATATATATATAATAAATAAATAAAAGAAGGAAGAAGTAAGTACGGTAGCAAAAAATAGAACAGGAATGAACATGGGCGATGATTAATTAGAAAGCATGACAGCCCACCGACGGTGCCACAGGCGTAGTATAGGTGGTAGGAGAGGGGGGACGAGGGCTACGCATGTAACGAAGTAAGAAGCCAATGCACCTTAGGCGTTGGTATACATATGTATATATCCACACGCGCACTGCTTCCCTTTATTCAGACTCACAATAGACGCAGAATACACGTTACTTCTCCCCGCCCTTCCTTCTTCTTCCTGTATTCTTAGCAAGAGAGATTGCAGGAACTCTTTATGAATTTTCACTCTGCTGCCTTCCTGACTCGATTTCGTTAATTGTTCGCAGGAGATGTTTGATGCGGTACTCATGTTTCTGGACCTGCGCTCGCAGCCGCTCATTCTCCTCCTTTAGCTCATCCCGCTTCGCACGAATCACCTCACACTCCATCCGGTCCTCCTCCATCAATTTCAGCAGTTCACGGAGACGGGACTCCAATCCCGCATCGCTACCCCCGCAGCCAAGCGGCTGCGCATTCAGGCCTTGTTTGAGCTCTTCAATGGCCAACTCAGCGGCGGTGGCGCGCTTCTCCAGCTCCTCAACTTGGGCCGATGACATTCCTCTTCGTGTGGCGCAGAGGAGCGTTAAGGGATGTGGGCAAAGACGTCGCAACGTGGTTCCTCTTCGTATGGGGGAGGCAAAAAGGGGCAGAGAAGCCAGACAGGAAAAAGAGCAGGAGCAGCGGTAGCCAAACACGACGGCAGCAGGACACACATGGACAGACAGACAGACTCAGAAGGAACGCGAATGAAAAAGGTGTGGAGAGAAAAAAAAAGGAACAACAAGACTTCAGTTCAATACAACGGCAACCCAGCAACAACTACCTCCACACTACGTGGAGAAAGAAAAAGAGAGCCATCAGGCACTCTCAGACGCCGACATACACGACACATACGCCATCAACAGAGACTAATGGGGGCCGCGTGGAGAAATACTTCAATCAGACGACGAAGACGGCGGCAAGACGCAGAAACAAATCATAAACGAATAGGAGAGAGGGAAGAGAGAGACAATAACAACAACAACAACAACCAAGTAGGTATAAACCACTTACTCTGATGAATTCTTTACAGTCTGCGCCAAGTTATTTTTCTCAGCCAACAGGGAGCGTGCCTCCTCAACAATTGCACGCAGCTCCGCTACAGTAAGGTTGTCAAACGGTTTACTCTCCTCTAACAGCAACCTCGCCACGTTGATACCCTGCTGCCTCCCATCCAGTAAGCCACTCATGTCTTTCCCCAGGGAGAAGGATTCTTGGTCAATGAAAAGTGACGAGGGCCGCCTAGATGACGTACCCGTTTGCTGCGGCAGGGTGAACATCTCACCCTTGGCATCGGATTGGCCTGGGGGAGCTGCGACGACAGTTGGGAGAAAAAGATCCTCAACAGTTGTCGTCGTTGTTGTTGTTGTTGCTGTTGGGGCGGGCGGGTGGTTTGACGCACGCTGACGTGGTGGGGAGTTGGTGTACGAGAGCCAAAACTCCGCGGCTGACTCCAAGTTCGCGAGGCAGTAACTTTCCTGCGGTGTGATGAGGCTGCCGTCACGGAACCGTTTCACATACTGAACATTCAAATAATAGTCCCTAGGAGAGGCGCGAAGGACTAGCAGCATGAAACACGGAAGAAATTCATCAGCCCCACAAACGACGGAATTCGCCTCCTTGCCGTTGTTATTGCTAGCCAAATCAACGCCTTTTCCGTTGCGCATAAGAGCGCTAGACACTGCCTTTGCGAGCCCGTCGCAAGCGCGAACGGCGCAGCGCAGCTTCTCACGTGGCGCTTTAAAAACATTCATGCCTTCCAGCTCAAACATGGCCTTATTCCACAGAGGATCTTCCTCGACTTCCTTCAATGCGTCCAGTTGCTCGGCCGTCACAAGAGGAGAGAGTCGAAGTAATTTATCGTGTAACTCCTTGTTGCGCTCTCGTTCCTCAGGATGCACATCAAAGGCACGCCAGTAGAGTTTCGACATGATATATTTTTCAAAGCCCTCTGCCGCGACATGAAGCTTTGACGCATCTTTTTCAAAAAGGGGTATCCGTTTGCATTGATCTAGACAAAAGGAAGTTGCCCGCCGCAAATCCGCGTCGTCAAAGAGAGGTGCCTCCCGCTGCTGGATAGTTTCCACGAAGTTAGAAAGCGTTTTGGCAACCGGCGCGCAGACAGAAAGCCGCATGATATCTTGAAACTCCTTGGAGCGTACATCATTATCCTTCGCGACCGCACGGCGATAGTTGGCGATGGCTTCCCGAGTGAAGCGCTCCTTCAAAGACTTCTGCTCTGTAGCGCCCCCCACGAAACTTGCTTGGTCGTCCTGAGGCCGGTCCGTCAAGATCCGCTCCTTTGGCCGCAGAGTCCGCTGCAACGCGGAGAGCGTGTTATGCAGCTCCTCCTCGTCCATTAACGCGGTGGCAATCACAAAAATGTGTAATTTACATGGATGAAAGTCGCTGACGGAGGTGTCGTTGGGCTCAAGAAGAGGACTCAAGTCACAAAGCACCTCGGAAGCCCCAATGCGTCCGTAGCGCGCGACACTTTGCAAATCCGTAGAGAACTCCCCGCGCTGCCCCCGAAGCGTCACGAAGGCGGGAGACGCAACACCGTCAAAGTGCACGAGGTGGTAATCCAGGAACGCTTCACGAGTGATGCGTGCTATCTTCTCATGCTGCTCCGGCGTCAGTATCACATCTCGCTCGCCGACGGTGAGCGTTGCGGTGCTGCTAGTTGGGCTGTTGGCGTGGGGTGAAGGAAGGCGCAGGTACGACGCAATACCACTTGACTCCAAAAACGACTGCTGTGGAGCACACAGCACCTCCACTGGGCCATTTTCAACATATTCGTGAAGCAGTCCCCCGGGCCGGATCGCCTTAAGGAGCGCATTGTTCTCAAGCTCGTACTCCGCAGACGTCGTCCCCCCACCCATCGCCTCGGATCCCTTTTTCTGGGCAGCTACTTCCAACCAACCAGCCGTCTACCGCGGCGTGCCCTACTGAAACTATTATTCTTTTGCCTCCGATTTTTATGGATTGCAGCGAGGGGCTAAGCAAAACGTAAAAAAAAAAAACAGAAAGGAAACCGCCACTGACTTCAAACTTGGGTCTACCCTTCACGCTTCACCGTCATACACGGCTCCCGGACGCGAAGTGACCCGCCTCCTCCTCAAATCCTTCTCCCAGCCGCAGGTGTGATGCTTCTCCCGTTCCCGAAGCCTTTTGCTCCGTGTCCTTGGAACGGCGGAAAGCAAGAAAAAGGGGCAAAATAGCATAAATAAGGTTGAGGCCAATTGAGGCAAGGGAAGAACGTGCAAAGCATGACAGCACCACACATCCTCCCCTTGAGTCGTCATTGCTCTTGCTGTTCTCCTCCTCTTCATCACAGCTTCTTCTTGTTGTTTTGGTTTTTGTTTTTGTTTTACACGAGCGACGTAACGGACTCGTAACCACACACGCACGGCATGCACTCCTCCCCCGTCCAATGCTCATGTGCTGGTCAGATCCAACTCTCCTGTTAATCGTTGACAAAAGGCAGCGAGTTAAACTTTTTCCGCACACACAGAGAAAGAGAAAAGGAAAACAAAAAAAATTCAAAATTTCTTCGCGTTCTTCTTCCCTTCCACTATCCGCCTCATTTTTTTGGGGGGAGTTATTATTGTCTTGCTTTGGCGGACCCCGCTCCCTCGCATTATCATGTATGTATACCTGCAAAAGAGGGGCAGCCCCCTAGTCCTGTGGTGTGACTTTCTCCTCCATCTTGGCGCCAATCCTGCTGGCGACGCCGTTTGCCCAGTGCGCCGTCAGGTCAATCCTAAACTCAGCCGACTGAACGCCAAAGAGCCTCAGCAGTTGGGCGGCCTCTGCGCTGAGGGTGTCGTTGGGCTCGCAGACGGTGGTGTCCTGCAGGAGGACAATGACGCCCTTGTCGAGCTTGATGGGAAGGCCGAGCTTCGACAGGTGGTCGAACATGCTGTGCGGGAACTGTGGCAGAGGCCCGGCGCGCAGCACAAGTGAACTCGTCGCCGTCTGCCCGGTGCGGGCGTAGACCTGCGCACCAACGGAGGCAAAGTAGCTCTTCACCTCCTTCTTGGGGAGGTTTGTAAAAAGCAGTCCGCAGGAGCCCACAAGGAACTTGCACAGCTTGTGCAGATTCGGCCGCTGTGAGCTTTCCTCGTCACGGCCAAGTGCAATCATAATCAGCTTATTATTGCCGAGGAACAGACAGCTGTCGCCCTTGCGCTCCTCGCGAATTTGCTGCAAAATGTTCGTGCGCACATTTGACAGCGTGAAGGTGTAGACGTCCGTGTAGTCGTCGAGGGCATCGCGAATGCGGGCAATGAGCTTGTCCTTGTCCTCCCGCGTCTTGGCACGCGTCTTCGTGAGCGGGACGACCTTGGCACGCTTCGACTTGGGCATCCTCCTTTTTTCTGCAGCTGAGCGCTTTGCGTGTGGGTGTGTGTGTGTGTGACTCAGCAATCAGAAGGAAATAAAATAGAACAAAAAAACAATAAAGGCAAAATGATCGCGTGTCGCTGCAGCTGCTATTGTTGTTTTTGTTGCTGCTCTCGCTGCATCGACGGCCGTCCCTTCCCGCTCAAAGCACTTCTCTACGATCGCACCCGGTCCGCCCGTCCCGATGCTTCTGTTGAGCACCTGCTGCTCGCGTTTCCGTTCGTCCGCGGCCGGCACACGGGAGAGGGGTGGGCCTTGAGGCAAACGCCGCATAAGGCAGAAGCAAAGCCGCTGCTCAGGCGGGCTAGCCCGACGGAGCCCGCGTGAAACCCGACAACACACGCAAGACATATTCGCGCCACACACAACAGTTTGTTTGAGACAACTTTTCCCCCTCCCCCCCGGCCCTGCCTGGGCGTCGTCTGCAGCGAGTGCCATAGATACATATTTGCACCGCGCAAGAGAAGAGGGTGGCGTACGGGGGAGGGGCACCAATGCCCACGCATAGAAGCCAGTGCGAGGCAAGGGAAAAAACAAAACTCAGATATCACGACAGTACAAAAAAAAAAAAAAGAAACAAAAAAAACTGTGGGATGCAAAAAAAAATAATAATAACAAAAAGAAAATCAAAATCAAAACTTGGAGGGTTCTCTACGACTTATTCACATGACTTCGCTTGCACTTAGTAACTAGAGAAGACTCGCTTACCAAACTCGTAAATGTAGTCTGTTGTCGAGAACTCGTCGTCCTCCGGCCAAGAATGACCAGAGTAAATTGCATGCACAATCTCCACAATGGAGCGACGGAGAGAGGCCACGTTCTGACCCGTGAGGTATCCCGTAACTGCAGTTCTTGCGCGAAGCAAATAACGCCGCATGCGAGGCTCTGAGGTGGCAGCTGCACTGTCACAGTCCACATACACTTCATTGGTGTACTTTGGGGTGTTGAAGGTGACATTGGCGTTGTCGCCACAACCATTGAAGTTTGCCCAGGCGGCAACGTTGTCCTTCAGCGGTGGGAAGCCCAATAATTTGTCGCCGCCCACGGGAACAATCAAGTCCAGGTTGCCGTGCACCATCAACACGCTTGGGCGGCGGCCATCGGGGTTGTCTGCACGAATATCGCGGCCGCACGCCTCGAGGCCGGCCTCATTGCCGGGGCGAAGCTCCACAATCCCACCAACCGACGCCACGGCGCGCACCACCTTTGGCTTCTCGCAGCCGAGCACTTCTGCCATCATAGCCCCATTGCTGAATCCGACCGCCATCACCTTTGCGGGGTCGACGCAGGCTCCGGCGGCGACAACCTCGACAACTTTCTCGGCAAATTCGAAGTCGTTGGGGCTGTCGGGCGAAGTGAATCCGCAGCAGGTGCCGGAGTTCCACCCGACGCCAACAAACCCAACGGAGCCGCAGAGGCTTGCCACGATGAATCCATCTCGGTTCGCGTGCTCCACGAAGCCGGTGGTATTCAAAAATCTGCCACAGTTGTCGTTTAGGCCATGAAAGAGGAGCTGAAGCGCAACCTTTGAATTGCCGCGTTGCGTGTACGCCGGAGGAACATACAACACAAACTGTCGCTCCCCCGTCGTCGTCCGCACCTTCACAAGCACCTGCCTGTTGACGGGGAAGGCCGGCGTGGCGCCGCAGCGGTGGCCGCCTTTATTCGCCCAGCGCGTGGCATCAAGCTGCGGCAGCGCGGCGAGCCTGGCCGAGCGTGCCCCTCTGCCCTCCGCGGTTTCCGGATCCCACTCTGCCACAACTGATGCTCCGCCAACCCTCGCGGCCACAAGCGCCAGAAGGAGGCACATCATGAGAAGAGCCCTCGGCCCACACTGCATGCCGTCGCAAAGGCGCATTTTTATCAAACTTTCACTCAAGCAACTTGTGGGAGGACACACTTTGGAGCTGAGACGACGCCAAAAAAACGCACACCGACGCAGGCAGAAAAGAAAAATAAGAAATAACAACAATAATATAAAGTAGGCGCGAAGAAATGGCTGCCCTGCCACTTCACTCAAAAAAACAAAACAAAAAACTGCCCAAGGCAGAGACGCATGCAAAGAGATATATATAGAGAGAGAGGGAGAGAAATCATTGTCGAAATTTCACCTTTTCCCCTCCCCCTTTTTACTCCGTTTTGCAAAACACACTCTACTCGTAGCCTTACACGTTAGGCGAGGTCCCTCAGCCGTTGCGTGTGGCTGTGTACATGATATACTTTTACTGATTCCGCGTTTGCTTTTATTCCTCACGTACCTCCCCTATTTTTTTCCCCCCCGCCACACATAAAAGCTCACATTTCCTCTTTCTATGCGAGCAAAAGGTGCCCTCAACAAAGACACGAAAAAGCAAAAGAAAATAGAACAAAACAAAATAAAAATAAAAAAAAACAGCTCGCTCACCACGATCGCAACTTCGCCCCAGTAGCAGGGAATAAATAAAGATGTGCTAAAAAACACAGTAATGTGGGTATATCAATAAATTTGCACGCATAGCCACAGAGAGTAAAAACTAATCGTCAAATAAATACGCAAAGATTGCCTCTCGTTATTGATCCGATTGCTAACTTCAACAGGGACAATGAAAAAGACACTATGCAGAAAACACAAAATCCACCGCTCTTTACCAACACCTCAGTGAACCTCTTCTGCAGAAAACTACGAAGCAATCTGTAGCTAAACTGCGAAGCAGTAGAAAAAAAAAAAAAGTTAGATTTAAAAACACTGGGCGGGGGCCACCACATGTTTTTGCTTCCCGCGTAATGCACTATCACTTTGGTAACTGAATGGGCGGTGGACGACGTGATTCAAGCAATCGCTGTCGGGTTCCCCGACTGCAGCTCCTAGCTCCGCCGCCGTCAACGAAGGACGCTGCTGCGGCGTGCCGCCCGTTTTGCTCGGATCTGCTCGGCCCAGCCCACCTCGGCCCTGGAGCACGGGGGTTCCGCACGTCCGACAGCCCCAGGCAGAAAAAGACCATTTTATTGTTCGTATTTTTCTTTTTTAATAATTTTCCTCCCTCAATATCTCTGCCGTGTAGACCACTCCAGAGCTTCTTTTCTTGGCGTTCTTCTTTATTTGCTTCCGCCCAGTGTTCGGGCGGCGCCTCCTAGTCGATTTGGGAGGGAATCTGGCCGTGTCCAGAAAATAGCGGCAGCTGCGCGTACGCCGCCAGTAGAGCAAGGAGGCCAATGGAGTGAGTCAGCAGAGAACTAGACAGGAAGAAGGCACACGCCGCAGAGAGAAAAACAGGTGGAAAAGAAAAAAAAGAATAAATAATAATAAAACAAAAAAAACACAAATGTATCGTTTAAAAACATCAAGCAACAATCAATAGCGAACTACTGGCGACTCATTGCATGCCGCAAGAGGCCGTGAGGTCAGTTCGAGATTACTGCGAAGGCTAATGCGTGGAGCTGCGTGGTGTGTAGCTGCATGCAGGGTTTTTTTTTTCTTGGCACGCGCGTTGACGAAAGTCACGGGACTCCGCGGAGAGTAGCGCAACGTCCCACTTGCGGTAGGGGTAGGACGGAAAGCAGCGTCATGCCCGTGCGTGTGTGTGTTATTATTTTATTTTATTTTGGCCGCCTCTGTTCTGCTTTCACCCTCCTCCCTCACTCACTAGTTGTCGTCAATCGCGTGTGCAACACCGCAGCGAACGAATAAAAAAAAAGGAGCAAATACTCCTCGCAAGCTCCACAAAAAGCCTGGCAACACGTACCCACAATGCATATCCACAGGCACGTGCACACAGGCAGGGAAAATGCGTCGCAGAAATTATTGGAATAAAAACAATAACGGCAACAAGAACGGGCCTAAAAGTCGAGGCGTTTAATGACAAAAGTGTGCTTTAAGCGCCACAAGGGCCCTGGCACGGTGTGATATTTGGTTCTTCATCGCTTCAAGCATCTCCGCGTAGGTTTGTCCACGACCCTCGTCCGGCTCAAAGATGGAGTCCCAGCCGAAGCCACCCTCCCCGCGAGGCGCCTCCACAATCGTGCCGTCGCATCTTCCCTCAAACTGCAGCACCGCATCCGGACCTGCGCAGTAGGTAAAGACGCAGAGAGCATACGCGCGCCGAGTGTCAAACCCTTGTAGAAGTTTGCCAAGCCCTACAGGAGCCATTTTTTCAAGAAACCACTTGACATACGGGCCTGGGAGGCCTCCCAGTGCCTCAAAGCAGAGAGCAGTGTCTTCCACTAGTACTGGACGTTTGAGAAGTTCGTACGCTGCGAGGGCCTTATTTCGGCTTATCTCAGCCACTGAGCTGCTTTGGATCTCGGGGAGGTCCAACTTGGCATTCTCGACAAGAACGTGCCCCGCAAGGCATGCCTGCACTTCCCTACGTTTCCCATCGTTGCCGGTGACAAGCGTTAGCCTAGGGTTGCTGGATTCACCTACTTGAGTGCCCTCAGGCATGTTTCCCTATCCAACTGTTTGGGGGTGGCCTTGCCTCTACAAATTCGCAGGCATAGGCGCATATAAGCACACACACGTGTTGACGTCGCAACGAGGCAAGAACAACAACAAGAAGGAAACATTTGCACGCCCGACCCCGCGAGGTCGTTTTCTGCATCTCCTGTTTTTGGCAGGAGGTAAATATTAGATAAGCATTCAAGGATAAAAATGAGGCGAAGCTGAAACAGGACAAGGTAGACGAATGACCCTACACTATTGTGCGTGGCCTTGCAATCTGCTCTTGTCATCCCTGAATGAAAGATGGTAGGAGACCAGTAAGCTTATATAGAGATTGCCAAAACTGGCGTGGAGCGTGAAGAGAGCCATAGACTGTGGAATGGAGGACGCAACAACAAGGAGATTCTCCCTTACCCCACGGGTGTCCTCAATGTGTCGGATGAGCTGCTGGAGAAACCCGGGAGGGTAGTAGTGATCACCGCAATACGAAGACGGGACGACGGTGCTATTGACGGAGACATTAACCATTGGTTCCGCCGCGCTACTCTGTTCGTCTCTATCACTCTCGCCAACACTCTGGTGCAGGGAAGCGTGATTGGTTGGCTTGTCATTCTCCGCGAACGCAATGGTGGCCCCAAGTGCCGAACTTCCCATTGTTCCTGCACTATTTCCCTTAAACCAGGGCCTCATTGTGCTTTCCACATTCTCGTTCAATATAAAGCACAAAGCGGGATACTGCCATAATCTTTTTTTATTTCCCGTGCTTGCACCCCCAAAGCTACTGCTGCTGCAACTACAACTAGAACCGCCGCCACTTAACGTCGCCGAGTGCGGATGCCATGTATTGCATCTTCCGTGAATATCCATCGGACACAGTTCTTCCGCTCTAGCCGGTGGCATTTCTTCCTTGGGCAGCGGTCTGGAGGAGGCAGTAACACCGTTGCTTGATTCCAGTGCGCGTTCCTCAGCGTCGGACTTCGTGGCTTTTTCTTCAGCCGACGCCGACGCCAGCCGTGCCGTAACTCCACCCGGCGTGGGATACACAGGAAGCACCATCTTAGCACGATCTAGCGGGGGCGACTTACCCGTGACACATGCGTCTTTCAGTTCTGCGTCATTATTCGCTTGCGGTTCCTCCGGCTCACACCTGGCCGCATTGCCGTCCTCGCCCCCGAACAACGTGTCCACCACGGAGCGCAGCGTCGGGAGCTCGGCGGGTGCCGCCGCGACGGCCTGCTTGTATGCCCGCAGTCCCAGCAGCAGCAGCGCGTTCGTCGCCGCGTGGCGTTCATCCAGCGAAATCATGTTCAGAAATCGAGCCACCGCCGCCGGGCGCCTCTGCCTGGCCATCAGTTTCCTCTCAGAGCCGCACTTCATGTGGATTGCTGGCACGCCTTGCGCTTCCGCCGACCGCGGGAGTTGCACACAGCAACAAAAGCACCGCCACCCAAGTGTGTGTGTGAGAGAGAGGGAGGAATGCGAAGAGTATTTGGGAAAAACAGAGATACGGCTTGGTAGAAAGCCTACAGCTGGATACAAAAGAAAAACACGCACAGTAAAAAAAAAGCGATCGAATAACACAAGAACCAGACGCATGCGAAAAACACAAGAGCAGCATCGGGAGCGGGGCCAACGACCACTGTTGACAGCTTCTCTTCTTTCCTCCTCCTGCAATCAACACGAGCACGCCAGCCAGAATAGGCCCGGGTAGTGTTCGCGTGTCCCATGTATTGGATCCCTCGCTTCTGCCACACTAAACAAGAACAACAACGGCGGCGGCGACTAACCACTAAACGTAAATTAGTGAATGTGACGACACACCCATCCAAGGGAAGCTTCAATATATGTATATATATATGTATATAATCTCGCAGACGCTTCTTCACGCCTCAACAGAGCCAAGGTCGACGCCGTCGACCTCTGTTTCTTTGTCATTTTCTTCCGCTGCTCCCGCCTCCATCGGGGGCAGTGCTGCCACCGCCTCCGGGAACTTCGTTGCAAAGGAGGCCATCAAGCCATCATGCTTGTTCCTTGTCGTTCGGAAAGCCTTCAGTACCTGCTGCGCCTCCTCCAGCTCAAACGAATCCACCACTTCCACTGCACGATCACCGCAGGCGTTAAAGACCCCAACGTCGGGCATGCGCACCTTTGCGTAGGCGGCAACGATCTTTGCCACCTCTCCGGCTGTCAGAAGGTGCGCAATGGTCTGGATGCGTGGGGAAAATTCCACAAAGAGCTTTTCGTAGCGCATGTCCACACGCGCGTACGCCTCCAGCAGACGTGCAAGGTGGTCACAGCGAAATTCACCACGCAATTGAATGGCACGGTCCGCCAATCGCACAAACAGCTTGTAGTGCCACAAGCCAACCTGCGCGTAGGCGTAGACCACATTCGTAATGTCTTTGGGAGTCCCATATTGTCCAACGTGGCGCACGCGCGGGATAGACTCAATGAACAGTCGATCATTGCGGATGCCGATAGATGCAAAGGCACTCAGCACAGAGGCGATGGTCACTGCAGGTATCTCTGCTTTTTGATTCACAAAACGATCTGCAATGATGGAAAAGAGTTCTTCATGGCGGCAGCCCACAATGGCGTACGCCACAGTTATATGTGCCAACGGCATGAGCGGGCTAGTCGGCGCCATAGCGAGTGCACGCAACGTAAGCTCCTCAAAAATGTTGTACTTCGCAAGGCCCACCCGTGCAAAAGACATGAGTGTCTCTGCAAGTTCATCTGGTGTCAGTTGCTGCTGATCCCGTACAATTCGTTTGCCAAGAGTCTCAAAAAAACCCACATCCCATACCCCACTTCGTGAGAAGGCGCTTAGTATCATAACAGCCTCGGTAATCGAAAGCGTTGCGTTGTCCGATGCATAGCGCATGACTTTCTGCAAGAGGACATTCATTAACTCTTGGTGCTGAACGTCCATTCGATTTAGTGACATCACCACAGCTAGCGCTTGCGGGATGGAAAGCTGCTCATGGATCACCGCGGCGCGCTCAGCGAGGGACCAAATCACCCTAAAATTCCAGATCAGCATCTTTGAGTAGGCGGCCAGTAAGTTGGCAGTTAACGTGGCGTCAGCAGTGGGGGCGTGTGCGACCACAAGGGGCGCCAAATCCACAAACAGTTTGGTGTCACGGTATTCAACCGCCGCTAGGCCTCCAAGAATGGTACCCACCTGGTACAGTGTCAGCTCGGCGGACAAGACCGCCGCCCTATTCGTGATGGCGGCGCAAAAAGCATCGTTGCGCACACGCGCTCGCCCGTAGGATGCAATTACAGCTGCGACCTGAGCGGCCGTCGCCTTTTCAATGTATGGCATAAGTTTGGATGCCACGTCTCGCATAATGGCCCGGGTCGGCTTTCCACTTACCTCGGAGGCGGCACGCAAAAAGGTCAGGACATTTGAAACACTCCATCGGTCAATGTTACTGGCGACGGCTGAGGCTAAAACCTCGGCGTGGGGGTCCACAATCCCCTCCACGAGAAGCGCCGCAATGTCGCTTGCACTCACCGGTGCTCCCGCCACACGCTTTGCCTGAATAACATCTACACACTGTGTGGCGAGGGCCTGGGCGTCGGCGCGAACCGCGTCCATCCTGTTAAAAACCCTCAACACCACATGCACCGACTCGGCACTCCACTTTTCCCGTCGTTCATTGATGGCTTGAACCAAATACCGCTGTAACGATGGTGAGATCAACGTCGTCGTTTCTTCGCCCACGTCGGCGAGTTCCGCCAGCAACTTTGTTGTCGTATCGAGCGCGGCCGCATCACTGGCAATGTAGGCCTCAATAGCGGCCCCCACAGCCTCTCGCAGAGACTCGCCAACGGGACTGCTACTCTTCACAAGAAGCTTGAGAACACGTGCCATGAGAACAGCGCTCCTCGCAGAGACCAGCGGCTCCTTTTCCACACGAAGCTTCAGCTCCTCGAGGAGTGCTGCTTCAGCGAGTTCTCGGATAGAAGGCGGTGCGGTGTGCAGAGCGGAAAAAAGTCCTACGAGATCCGCCAGTGAGATGACTGACAACTCAGCCCCCGGAATGCTTACCCACACGGCGGCGGAGAGCTGCGATAAGAGATGGCTAGATAGGACGCCACTCGTTGACGCCTGCCCAAGCAGTTTCCCGAGGGCAACCGCGATCATCACCTTCTCTGTTACGCCCAATCCTTCATTCACGGCGCGCAACAGGCGCTCCGTGAGCTGGTTTGACAAATCAACAGGACCCTGCGCCGCACCATCGGCAGCGATGGTCGCAGTCAGCACGGAGGCAAGCAGCATACAGAGACTGCTTGGAGCCATGTCATTTGCGGCAGCGAGGACGCGGTCTTGCACGGCCCGCAGGACGGTGGCAGTGTCAGGGTACTCTAGACAAACCAGTGAGTAGAGGGACTGTGCAAGCGAGTGCAGAGAGAAGGCGTCGGGGTGAACAGAAAGCCAAACGGCGCAGTCGTGCAACATGGCCAAATCTCGCGGGGCGTCCAGTATAACCAGGGTGGAGAGACAGTGTGCGACGGTTTTACCATCGAGACCCTGAATACAGTGCAGTGGCGTACCCGTGACGATACGAAGGCACTCTTCCTGCTGCATCCGTGTGGGCGTGCGCCGGTAGTCGCTGCGGGCTTTATTGAGTTCCATTGTGTAAAGGCGTGCCAGTTTGGTGGATACAAACCGCTTGCTGTGATGCAGCGCACCCCATCCCACGGGGCCTAAACACGACGGCAATACAGACATCGTCGTGAATGTTCCTTCTGCTGTTAATATTCGTGGCAGTGTGAGGAGCGGCAAGGCGCGAAAGGCACCGAATAGGCGAGGTTGTCGACTCCACCGTGTTGGGTGCATTTATGCGTGCGTGTGTGCTTCTCTTTCGTCCCTTTTTCCTCGGGTTCTTTGTTGTTTTTTTTTTTGTTCGTTGCTTCCTTGGCGAGCTCCGTGTGCTGCGCTTTGCGTTAGGCGGTGCGTGTCGCCGCGGGCCCCGTGTGCTCCCAAAGAAAATCAAACACAAAACAACAGTAAAACAACCACAACAAATGACGGACGAAAAGAGGCAGCGCGTGCGCACGAGGAATTCAGGCCCGGCGTGCACCGCCCCCGCCTCCCTGCATCATCCCCATCCCCCGCCAACGAAAAGCGGCGCGGGGAAAAGCCCCAACAACAGCCAAATGCGTCACACAGTTTACCGCAAAGGGGTTTCCCTCAACTTTTTTTTTTTTGCAAGCGCCGTGGATGCGGCCCGGCCGCGAAGAGTGGCAGGGAAGAAAGGGAGGAAACCGTAGAGAAATACAACAGAAGGGGTGGTGGTGAAGACATGCACCCAGTGGAAGTGGAAAAAGACTTTAAAAGCACAAGCGTCTACCGCCCATAAATAAATACCCGCCGGAGCAAAAGCCGCAACGACGACGCTGGAGGGAGGGAAAATAAGGCCCTATAAAAAGTAGAACGGTAAACGCTAACAGCACAGCTACCCCGCCAGTCCCCGCACATCTTCTTTTTCGACACCCCTCACCCCTCGTTTTTTGTTTGTTTGCTTTCCGTGTTTTAATGCGTGCCTGAAAGAAGACGTGAAACAATAATAAAGCAGAAAACCATTAAAAAAAAGTAAAAACCTGAAAACAAACAAACAAAAAAAATAAATAAAGCACTCACGGATCAAAGTCCATCGTACTGTGCGACACGTAACGACCACGCCCACCGCTGCCGTTGCGGCGCTCGCAATGCGTATTCGACGTGTCGCCCATAGCGGCAGAATCTGCAAGCCTGCAGAAGGAGCCGTCCGGAAGCTTCACAACGCCGTCTATCGGTGCTCTCCAATTCGCACTATACGGATTCAATGAACCACCCAGCTCTCCAGTTTTGGAAACGAGCAATTTGTCGCCCACCGACTGAAGATGTCGGAGACGACGCACCATATCCAGTGAGCCGGCATTGCCCGGACAGACGCATTCCTTGCCGAATTGTAGCGCCTCTCGCATTGGATCCAGATGTGTGCAATGGTTGCTGTTTCTGACACCCCCATGGCGGGAGCGGCTCCTGTTTGGGGTCTTCTGTGCGCCGCTATACTCACCACCCAACGGCGATGCCGCGAAGCCGTCTCGCAACTCGCCTGGCCCAATGCTAGGATACCGTAGGGAACCAACCCCACAGGGGCGAAATGGCGGTGCAGGGTATTCGGCCCGTTGTCGTGCCTGGAGCACAGGTTCCTGCCTTTTAAGTGCGAGGGAGATACTCAACGACTTCGTTGCGTCACAAACGCCTTCATGTAGGCGTCGCAGCTCCGCCTCCCGTCGTGCCACCCGCTGTTCCACTTCCTGCTTTCGCTTGTCCCAAAGCGCAATGGCAAGACGCCGTTCCTCCTCCTTGCGCCTCTCCGCCTCTGCGCGGGCGATTGCTGCCTCACGTCGTTGGGCCTCTCGCTGCGCTGCCGCCTCTTCGGCACGCACCGCCGCCAGACGTTCCTCTTCACGTTTGCTTGCATTATCGTAATCGTCCTCGAAAAAGACAAGCGTGTGCCGCAATTCAGTCACGGCAACTGACTGCAGTCCCTTGCGGGCGCATGCCTCGGCTGCGATAAGGGATTCCAACGCCACGGCATCGCGTATTGGTTTCTCCGTGAGCCACTGCTCGTAGAGGTCCTCCACAAGCCGATTGCGTTTAGCGGTGATACCGTTGTAGAATCGCTCACGTTCCGCCATGAAGGCGCTTCGCGCCTCCGACTCCAGCTGCTGCAACTTCAGTAATTGAAGAACATCAGCAATAACCTTCTCCTTGTGGGATGCATATTCCTTCTCACGATAAAACTGCTGACCACTTCGCTGCCGGAGGAATCCTTGAACAATCTCCGCAGAGCGATGGCGAACCAACGCCGCAGTACGCATCCTCGCCAGCGAGACCAACGCGCCACTCACGGCCACCCTAGCAAATACCTGCAGTTTCTGCTTCTTCACTACTTCCAGCTGTTGATACGCCTCGGACTTGAGGAAGATACGTGACTTTCCTATTTGCGCATTCCGCAGGTCAAATCCAGCGGCCTTCAAAACGGCGCGCGTCACCCCCACGGCATCGCCAAAGTCTAATGCTTCAGAAAGCACCAAAACTTTGTACTTCTTCGCAAAAGCAACAATTGGAATGCGGATGGGATAGCCCGCCTTGCGAATCTGCACCGTCCCAAGTACACCACTACTACGCAGTTGCGTTAAGGTTTGCACCCCGTCAAAATGTAGTGGTTTTTTGGCGGGATGAGGCTTGATGCAGCGGATCCAGTGCGGATTCGTGCTGTGTATCACCGCCATAAGATCCTTCAGCTGAATTCGAAAAAAACCACCCACTGTGTAACGGGATTTACAGTCTGGATTTGGCATGGGGAGCAGCGTTTTGATCAGGGAATCCGTGCTCTCATTGAGCAGCACCTTAAAGGCATCCTTGAGGGTGTCGCGGCTCTTTTCGATAAAGCCATCCACCTCGTATGTCACCGTGCCGGCGTAGTGCGCGATGCGAAAACAAGGCACTCTGGCCAATCGTGGTCGCCCAAAGAAAGGAGATTTACCGGCAAACCTCTCGGTGATCTTGTCGAGGAAGCTGTTGTCGGTGGCCTTCGCCAAGAGGCAGTCTTCGTCCAGTATTGCGAGAATCCCAGCCTTGCCACTGATCAGCTCCACACATGCGGTGTTATCAGGGAATGTGACCTCCGTCACATCGATACCCTCCTCACGACACTCATCCATGTCCCGCGAAAAGATGAAATAATTGTAGTGCCGCTGCAGCGTTTCATTAGTGAGGTTGATGCACAGCTGCTCAAAGGAGTTCACCTTAAAATCCTCGAACCCAAAGATGTCCAGCAACGCCACCCAGGTAGTGTAATCCTCTGTGTCCATGGTTTGATTAATGGCCGTCACAAGGAAATCAAAGAGATTGTTATAGAGGGCTTTGCAAAAGGAACTGCTCGCATCTTCGGCTTTGGCCTTCGTTAGCCTCGTAACCACGGGTCCCTCACGTAGTGTGAGGGTGGTGGTCGTTAACTCCTCCTTCAACTTCTCCGCGGGGATGGAGAGCAGGCGACAACCATCCGCGATGTAGCGCTCCGTCCGTGGGTCAATCTCACAGGTGTCAGGGCCAGTGGCGATAAATTCCACATTGAGAAGCGACAGCACGGCCCCCACGCAGCGCCACACCGATTCCACCTTCTCCTGGGAAAAGCCACAGATACCCATCGCCGTGTTGACGTCATCGTAGTCCGCCGCGTCGTCGACGCCCTCAATATCGGGCGCCTTGCCCGCCATCACGTTACGGTACTGTGGGAGTGCTTCAAGCCCGTATCGCTCTCGATCGCGGCCTCGTAGCAGTAGATAAAAAGCGTGGTAGACGCGCTCATTTAGTCCTGAAGTGACGATGCGCGACTTCTCCAGCAGATATTTTGTCACGTCCGCCCCTGTGAGGAGTCCATTCCGGTTAAACTTGATGCGCATGAGTTTGCCAAAGCGGGAGCTGTTGTCGTTGCGCACCGTCTTGGCGTTTCCAAAGGCCTCAAGGATGGGGTTCGATTGAATCATGCGTTCTCCGACAAATGAGCCGGTTTTTTTTTCCTGCTCGGTGCCTTGAAGCGCGCTGAGGGCGGCGAGGTATTTCATGACAATCTTTGCCGCCTCCGTCTTGCCCGCGCCCGACTCACCCGAGACAATAATGGACTGGTTCTGCCCGTCACGCCGCATCTCGTAGTACGTCGAATGTGCCACCGCCCATGAGTGGGGCATGTTGTGCTGAATCGTCTCTCCCTCGGCGAGGTAGTCCGGCATCTTGCTGTCCATGTACCAAGGGATGTTGAAGTTGAACGGGTTGAGTGCCACAACAATAGCCCCAATGTTTGTGTACACCACGTCACGAAAGTAGCGAGAGTACAGGCAGTTCAGCAGCGTCCCCTCATGCAGCACGGAGAGTTTCAGCAGGTCATCAACGTCCTCGGCCATGGCGTGTTCGTCGCACACAAACACGTCCTCGGAAAGAAGCTTTGACACCTGCTCCTTCACAGGGGTCAACGTGCTCACGGAGACGTGCCTGCCGTCGAAGCTGTCAATGACACCCCGCACCCACGCGTGCGCGGGGTGGTAGCACATGCAGTGCATCCCTGGCAGAAATCCACTCTGTTCAGTCATGCCGTGCACCACGTGGCGTTGCAGTGAGTGGGGGTGGGGGTGAAGTCCTCCCGGTGGCCCGCCGTTAATTGGGCAACACCCGCCAAGTGTCAAATAAGAACTGAAGCGCTACAACAAGGCACTGAGAAGCTCAAAAAAAAAAGTAGGCAAGAAAAGGAGATTCGCAAGGCCAGAAACAGCAAAGAAACAGACACGACACCCAACATACGTGGATAAGTAGCAGCTGCCAAGCAAAAAAAAGGAAAAAAAAACGGAAATCGAAAGGAAAGCCTCGGTCCCTTTTCACCACCGTCCCCCGCATGCTCACATTCCCTCCCTCCCTCCGCCTGTATGTGATAGATGTGCGTATTCGAGTGCAACCCACATCGAGTGTTTATGAAAAACATTCCGTCAAGATTGTCTCTGCTGCTTCAGCCAACGCATCGTCCGTGTCAGTCGCTAACTGCGAAAGCACCTGCGACAAAGCGAGCAGGCTGTCGTCGTGCTTCAAGCAAGCAAGGCCGTCGCCCTCCTCTTGACCTTGCTGAGACCCCTGTTGCTTCTCTTGCTGCTGCTCTCGAATGTGTTCAAGCAGCGCTGACGGAAATTTTTTGTACCGCAATCGCGCCATGCTGTTCGCCTGCAACCCCACCAAGACACAAACCGCGTCATCCACGGAATGTACACGGACACGTTCGTCAAGGTGGCGCACAATCGGGTCAAGAACGTGCGACTGCTGTTCCGGCGTCCACGCGCTCCCAGGAGCGTGCTGGGCGGCAAGCAAAATACACAAGGCGCAAAATAGTCTGGCGCACTGCGGCACTGACAACTCCTCCAGCCCCGCATGGGTTTTGACCTGCAGCTTTGGCAGCACCTTCGCCGCGATGACGAGAGAAGCGCCTGCGACGTGGCGCCAACAGACGGCATCCGCCAGAGTCAACATTTCTTCCCTTGAGAAACTCGCCGCCGTCGCAGTTGGTGTCGGTGTGGTGGAGCACAGCATTTCAATGGTTTCTAGCTGCACCTGGAGAAGCTGTTGGAGCTCCTCAGCCCTCGCATTTGCCCTCAGCAACACATCCATCGCACGGGCAACGACGATCAGCAGCAGAATCCCCCCATCACGTGAGAGGCTCCCAGGCACCTTTCCCGCCTCGGCTCCCCGAAGCATACTGAGAAACGCTAGAGCTGTCGCCGTTGCCGTTTTCTGCGAGGACCGCAGGTACACGGCAAGAGCGCAGAGAACACACTCCCAGTGGAAGGAACTATAAAGCGACGTTGCAAGCCAACTCAGCAGCTCCGACACCATCGCAAGCGTGGGCACGACACCAAAAAGAACGCAGGCATTCAGGTACAAACACGCAAAGTCAACGGCTAGCTCCTGCTCCTCCTCCTCACCCGCGGCAAAGTCCGTGAATTGCATCGTCTGCAGTACCTCTTGTCCGGCCCGCCGCGCCGCTTCCGATTGATCAACACTGCGATACACGCGAAATGCCGTCGCCAGCGCCTCGCGCCGCGTGTGCCCTCCGTACCGGCTCACAGAGACCATGTCCATCGTCGGCTGATCGATACAACTCCGACCGAGGCGTGTCCGTTTGATCTGCGCCGACGGGTTCTGACGGGTCCACTTCGAAGTGTGGAAGTCATGCATCGCCCATCGCTTGAAGAAGTGAAAGGGCAGCGGCGGACGCACGCGGAGGACTGCCGTCAAACCACCCACACCACGGACCTCGCAAGCAAGACTTCTTTGAGACAGCAGCATCGCCAACACAATCTCAGCTAGAAAAAGCAAAAAAAAAAGAAAGCGGCACCTCACCTTGTCCCCGCGCCCACGCGTAGCGCGTCTTTAGGCATGACCATCATCCTCACCATAGCAAGGAATGTAAAGCGAAAGCGAAAGCGAAAAAAAAAATGAACATTACACACACACACCTGTATAATTTACAAGCTCCAAAAATTTGTCCGCCATCCACGGATAGTAAGCCATGGTCCACTTTGCTCCACCCGCGCTTATGCATCTCGTTTTTCTCCCTTCTCTTTCTCTCTCTTTCCCCCTGCATCATCTCCCAGTACAATACGGCGCTTAGCGGATGCACCAGTTGGCCAGAAGCAATACTAGGATGCTAACCCACAGACACAAAATCAGTTGACGCGTGGGATTCCAAAAGCCGGACAGTGTTTTCCGTACTTCTGTCACTCCTTTATGCATGTTGTTATGAGCCATCTCTGTGTTTCTAAGCAGGATAGAGAACTGCTCGTTCTGCTGCATGACCTGTTCATTCATTAACGAGGTCAACTGTGACAACTCACGCACGGAGGCCTCAACCGCCTTGGCATCCTCCGCAGAAGCCATCTTTTGTTGCTCCTGAAGCACAATATTCGCCTCGGTAAGTCGTTGCACCTCCTCCGCATTGTAGGCAAACTGCGGATAGGCCGCCTCCGGTAAGGATGACATCCGAAAACTCGCCTCGCCCCGTCCCCCGGCCACTAACGACCATAACTGCTCGCCATGGGGTAGCGGTGCCGCCGTTACCGTCCGCGCCGCCTTCTTGATCACGAGATCCACCACAGACACCACCCCAGCAGGAGAGTACGGCTTTCCTTCCAGATGCGGGGAACAAGTTGGATTTGTTGCGTCCACATCACCTCTATTCTTCTCCCCTCCAAGAAAGGGGATTTCTTCCTCCCGTTCCCGCTCTTTCTCAGGATTGGAGCACGAGAGTACACCCACCCGTCCAAAGGTGAACATTTCTCGCTTGTATAGCGCCAACTCTTCCTTGCACAAAGCCAGGCGCAGTCGCCAGCGACCCACTGTACCTTCAAGTACATCAAGTGCCGCACCAAGGTGCTGCAAAAACTGAAGCGTTGGCTTTGCAGAGGAGGCAGAATGCACCTTCCGCTCCTTCGTCCCCTCCCCTGTGGAAAAGAAGAATGGGCTCCACACGTCTTGCTCTTTCTTCTCGAGTTGCTGCTGCGCCTCCCCGATGGAGGAGCTAAGGTCTTTTATCGTGTTGGAGGCCGACAGCAACTCGGCCTCCTGCATGAGAAGAGAACCCTCCAGGTCTGCCATGGCGGGGTTGCACTCCTCCATGGCACGCAACGCCGCGTTAATACGAGAGCGCGTGACACGCACGGCGCCCTCCGCGTTGGCACCGACAACGACGAAGGCACTGTAGAAAGGGTGGGCACGAAGGGCATCTAAGACCACAAAACTCTCGCAGTCCTCAATGTATGGGCTTCCTTTGTCAAACAACTCACGCAGAGCTTCAGTGCGGTTCATCAGCGGTTCCTTCACACACACACACACAACCTCGCTCTCGCGAGGCCGCCTCCTCGCTACCGTCGCCAATCGAGAGGGCACAAGCAATAAGAAACAGCAGCAACAACAACAAGATTATTCCGGCAGCAATAATGAAGAAAAGGAGAAAAATACCACCAAAAATAAATAATACTAAGCCATCTACGGTCAGGGCAAAAAAAGTAAGCAACATAATACACTTACATTTCGCTCTCTGAAGGAAAAAAAAAAGGAGACTGCACGTACGCTTCTATGCATTCTTGTGAAGAGCAACATTTCCCCGACGGGGGTGACTTCCCCCCAGCGTAACTATGAACGCTTAAGACACCACCACCACACACACACACACCGCCAGCTCTCCCACCCTTGACAAAACAGAATCGGCAATGGACGAGCACCATACACAATCGAGGCGAAATCTTCAAGCCTACAAAGTGGCGTTACTCACCGCTGACGTGCATCCTGTAGACATAGTACTCTATCTGGTTGCTTTTTACGAGCGTGCCTAGGAGCTTGACGGAGCAAAAAAACTCCGCCACAAGTAGTATGAGCATCGTAACACTGACGGCATAATCGAGGGAGTCCGGCTGCGGCCACATGACATTGTAGAGAACCACGAAGGGAAGTTGAGGCAACAACGTCAATCCCAAAAACCGAATAAGGCCTGGCACGTACTCTTGCCGGTTACTTGTGTGACCAAAAAACAGACGAGGCAGCTCCGCCATAAACCAGAAAACTGCAATACAAACACACCATGTCTGCTGACTCGAAGTAATTCCTCTATCCCACCGTTTGCGCAGCGACGCCGCAAGAACAGGGAGTGCAAAAAAGAGTGAGTAGGCAACGTTGGTGGTCACAAGTGCGGCAAGCAAGGGGCTACTCTTGTTGATGCGGTGCCGGTGGTACGTTCTCACCCGCATCGCCTCTGCCACCCTGCCCCTTCCCCTCCTCCCGCCCACCCACCCCCGTGTCCTCCCTTTCTTTCACTAAACGTTAAGAAACAAAAACAAAAACGGAACAATCCACATACCAGTTATAGATAAAAACAAAAACAAAAAGGTGCAAAGCAAAGCGTCCTTTTCAGATGCACACATGCACCTCATCTCTGTTTTACCACCAAGCCCGAGAAACACACAGACGGCGGAAACTAAATTCATTAGGCCAGGCGCAGGCCGGTGAAAGATCCGTGCGGAGCAAGAGGGGATGAGGGAGGGGAAAAAAATAAACTCCTTTTTCTCGCCCATTAATCCTTTCCGATAGAGCATGTCCCGCCTGCGGAGGCCGGTTCTCCCTCCTATTCCCACAACGCGAAAAGGCAGAACAAAGCGAGAGCGCAATTCGGTTCAACGTACCCAAACATCAGATTAAGTTCCTCCGACACCCAAATTACATGCATATAAAGCAACAAATTCGCAAAGCGTACGGCGTTGATAATTGGGTGCGCATTATTGAACGCACGAAGTGGTAGGCCTGCAGCGCCCCGCAACCGCCGTCCCCAGTCCCGCGCGGAATACGACAGAGGGTTAGAGCTGGAGAAGAGGGAAACAAAGAACTGCGCTCGCGCCGCTCTTCCAACGTGGCATCGTTGGAAATAAAAACAAAAACATCAAGCAATCAACAAAGAACCAGAGGGATTCAACAAGAGCTGCCAGCATTCGTTCCGTCCACGCCTGGTCGCACAGTCTTTAATGAAGTGTCTCATCCGCTTACAATAATAACAAACACAAACATTTCCGCACTCTAGTGTTGTGCAACAATTGTGTCTGTCTTCCCTTATTTTCCTTCTCTTCCGTGTCAGCATCCTAGTCCATCTCCCT